TTTTTTGGTTTCCCAGTACATACAAAGCTCACACTCACACTCAACAGAAGTCTACGTGGTGTGCGAAAAGCCCAAACCCTGCCCAACTCACCGTGGCCCCTGAGCGGATTTTGACTCATCTCTCCACCCTGTGGGGCAGAGGAGTGCTCTCAGGAGCACGCCACAGGTTTGGGATTAGAATTCCAACCTGTGTGTTGGGGAAAACCTCCCTGCCATCAAGTCGATACCAACTCAGAGTGACCCTGTAGGACAGGGCTTTCCTGGAAGTAGAGAGCCTCATCTTTCTCCCGCAGAGCACCGAGGGATTTCACCCTGGGGGTTTCTGAGACTGTCACTCTTGACGGGGACAGACAGCCTCGTCTTTCTCCAGTACAGTGGCTGGTGGTTTTGAGCTGCCGACCTTGTGGTTAGCAGCCCACGATGTCACCCACCCGCCCACCGGAGCTCCCTACGTGTGCAACACAGAAACCCACTGCCCCGAGTCGATGCTGACGGAGAGCAGCCCTGCAGGACGAGGGAGCACGTGGCCTCGTGGGTTTCTGAGACGAACTCTTCACAGTGGTCACCCTGGGCATAACTGCCAGGCCACCAGGGTTCCTAAGCGTGAAAAGCTGTGAGCGTGACCAAACACCAATGTCATCAGTTCATCTCGGGTGGGCTTCCCTCGCTCCGTGGACCCTCGGCCTCACCCTGCAATGTCCTTTTCTGGTCTAGGCTGTCCTGACGGCGTGTCCAGAGTCAGCAAGCCGGTTCCAGCTGTCCTTGCTTCTGCCCGCCAGCCTGGCTGGTCTTCTCAGGGGGGTTTGTTTGTTCTTCCGGCCGTCCACCTGCACTTGCGGTTCTAAGGGAACACTGCTGATGCATCCGTCCCTCTTGCCGTCTTCCTCCTCACTGATCCCGGGCCTCGGGAGCCAACAGCCAGGGCTCAGGGCAGGGGCACCTCAGGGTTCAAAGGGACCTCTGTGCTTTTTGGAACCTGAACTGTCCCTTACCGGGCGGGCTTTAAAAAAAAAATCTTTTCATTGGGAGCTCTTACAGGTATTATGACAATATTCAATTAGATCAGTGATTCTCAACCTGTGGGTCGCAACCCCTTTGGGGGTCGAACGACCCTTTCACAGGGGTTGCCGGATTCATCGCAGTAGCAAAATGACAGTGATGAAGTAGCAACAAAAATCATGTTATGGTTGGGGGGGTCACCACATGAGGAGCTGCATGAAAGGGCCGTGGCATCAGGAAGGCTGAGAACCACTGAGTTAGATCAAGCATCACTGCACCCTTGCTGCCACCATCATTTTCAAAACATTTTCTTTTTTCTTGAACTCTTTGATATCAACTCCTCTTTATCCCCTCCCTCCCCCATGCTACCCCCCAGGAACCCTTATTATCACATGATATATTGTAACATATCTGTACACATTGCGGTCTCACACCCTCCAGTGTATCCGTTCACCTGCAAGTCCCTTATTCGTCCCCTCGAGGGGGGTCACACAGCCATCACTGCTATTGCTCCCCCTCCCCCCTTCTCTTCCCGTACCCTCAGGGAACCGTTACTCCCATTACTATTTCTGACATTATGCCGGCTCTGTGCAACCTCCCCACATTTGTCTTGGCACGAGAAGCCCCTGGGTGTGCACCCACCCGTGCACAGAAGGAACAACACTATCAGGTCACTAGGAGCCATCTCTGGGGTGGGATGCCAATTTGGAAAGACACCCAATGGGTCGCGTCCCCTGCCCGTTAAGAAGAACGGAACGTGGCAGCTCCGAGTGGACCTGCCGGCTCCAGCGGGTTCAGTGGAAGGCGAACTTCCACCC